TAAAATCCTACTCCCACGCTGCGAAATTCGACTTATTACCTACAAAAGATCAAGCCATCATCATCCACGCAATAAACGATATAAGCCTCCGAGACACACAATAGGAAAACTAATTGGTTTCAAAGCAATAAAATACATCTATCCAACGTTTCATACCAAACTCTGAATTTGAAAATATCTTCAAAAGGAATAACGTCAAGTTATGTTCTAAAATAACAACTCTGAAAGCAGATATGATTGACCCAGAATAGGCTCACATTCTCAGCTTTAGAAGGCAAGTATATATACTAGATCTCGATGACATTGAAAAAATCCCATCCACCTTCTTAATGACCTTTGAGGACATATCCTACCGAAAAAATCCCACTTTCCCATAAAAATCGCCTATGTAGACAATATCACCTCAGCTTAAATAATATTATCGATCAAAATGGAATATAAGAAAACTGGCCAGTATATCAAGAAAATATAACGCTTCAACTTACAGAAAAAGAAACAAACCCTGAATTTGATCCAGCTCTGATTAATAAAATCATAAACGAGTTTCAACAAACCATAATATCAACAGACAAAGCCTTTGGAGGCTGCAAAAAATCAGAATGTACTGGAGCGAAGAATGCAAAATTGCAAGTGTAGGCGATCATTGAGACGATCGCCATAGGAACTGATTGTTTATGTTTCGAGAAGAAATTTGTGCCTGAGAAGGGGGATGGCTGATCGAACGACACTCCGACAGTCGAATAAAGACTTTTGAGAAGGAAATATCTCACGCCTCAAATTCTTCGCCCTTTATCCATTACACAAGAGAGTCATCATGCATTCAATAGAGCAAAAAAACATCCCATTAACGAAAACCTAAAACCGAATTAAAAAAAAACACGCCAATTTTCGAAGAACAATTAAAGAAAATAAAAAAATATCATGGAGAAATTATATATTATCGATAAATTATATATTATTATATATTATTATATAAATTATATATTATTATATATTATCGATAAATTATATATTATTATATATTATCGATAAATTATATATTATTATATATTATTGATAAAGTATATATTATTATATATTATCGATAAATTTCCACATAAAAATAAAATTCCAACATCTGAAGTATCAGAAAAAATCAAACGGGTAAATGGATCCCAATCTTCTACCAATTCAATTCCTAGAAACCGATGATGGCAAGGTTGTAACTTAAGCTCATGATATTGCTAACACTCTAGCCAAAAAATTCCAAGAAAACTCAAATAACAAAAACAACAGCCTACCATACCCCACAAACAACAACCATATACACCAAGATCAGATCGACAATGATAGCAACCTATTGCTAAACTCACCATTAACATTTAAGAAAATAAACTCCATCCTTATATCAACAAAAAACTTCTGAACCAGATAATATCCCAAACTTGCTACTAAAAATGCTCCTGGAAGCCGAAATAAACTACTTGTTAAAGATCTTCAACTGTATATAGATCTACAAAGTTTTTCCTGAAAATTGGCAGAAAGCAATAGTAATTCTAATTCCTAAGCCAAACAAAAGCAAACAAAACCCAAATAATTATCGCTCAAATGCATGAACTAACACCATGTGTAAACTATTGAAAGAAATCTTAAATCGAAGGCTTCGATGGTACCTCAAATTAAAGAAACTTCTAAACCAATACGGTTTCTGACACCATTGTTCTACCATTGATATTCTAACGAACGTGGAATCTAACATCTGTGACATCTTCCAATGGAGAATACTTAACCGCTGTATGCACTGACATTGAAAAAGTTTTTGATACAATTTGGAGATTCAAAATTGCAAGTTCTCTCCTCGAGTTAAAACTGAATGGTAATATGCTATATTTTATAACCAATTTCCTATCAAATAAATACATTCAAGTCAGAGTAAATGGAGTTCTCTCACATCTCGTTACAATCCAAAACGGAGTTCCACAAGGATCAGTAATGAGCACCACACTATTTCTAATAAAAATTAACGACATCACCTTCAACTTAAAGACACCAATAAAGACTCAGTTATTTGTGGACGACATTACAATCATATGTAGTGGGAAAAAAACACTCCATAAACGAACACTTGCAAACAACCATCAACACTCTATAGGACTAGTCAAAAACAAATAGCTTACATTTTTTTTCTCAAAAAACCCAAGGCATCCTTTTCACTAGAAAAAACAAATTCCAATTCCCAACTAAACTACATCTGTGTGATATTGAAATATTAGGCCTTATTTTTGACGAAAGCTATCCTGCTATATCTAAAATCCTTAAAAGATTCCTACATAAAAAGACGTAACATAAAAATCCTTTCCAATAACAACTGAGAAGTCGACAAAGACACTCTTTTAGAAACATACGTTAATTCGATCCAAACTAGATTATGGCACTACTGTTTATAATTCAGCCAAAAACTACATCAAAAAAATGATAAAATCATCCCCTATACAGCTTTAAGATTAGCCACAGGAGCACATCGAACTTGCCCTATAAATAGTTTACTATTCAAAGTCAAAAGTGGTCCTTAAAACTAGAAGTTTCTAATTCTTAAATACGCAAAATCTCATCCACTCCAAATAACCCTACTTACAGTAATATCTTCTCCAATAGATACAAAGCATTTTACAGCAATAAGCCCAAATTTCCCTTCCCTTTTCATATTAGATTTACCAAAATCCTCCAGACTATTACCTTCAAAATATACTAATAAACACCAGTCTTGTCGAATTCCCCCAAAAAATTCTCAGTCTAACTGACACAGGGCCCAATTTCTAGAATTAAACGACAGCTATGTTCACCACAGTAAGATTTACACTGACGGGTCGAAAACGGACTCTGGAGCTGAATACGCCATCATTACAGATAAAGCCAAAATAACACAAAACTTTCTCTCATTATCATCTATTTCTACAGCTGAAACTTATGCCATTCTTGAATTCTTCTTTAAAAATCTGCACTCAAACAATTAAGCCTAGGTCGCCATCTACGCCGACTCTATGAGCGTTACAAAATCCTTAACGAAAACGTATGACGAGGGAAACCATCTAACAATTACCATACAAGAATTATATCACAACCAATCTAACACCAAAGCGATTGTCATCTGGATTCCAGCTTATCAAGGGATAGAAGGAAACGAAAAGGCCGATGCAGCAGCGAAAGAAACCTTCATCTACTAACAAACTCAATCACATTCCAATCCCCTGTGAAGACTAAATAATTCACTGTAAAAGAGTAATAAAAATCGAATGGAACAATACCTGGATCGCAGTTAAAAACATTCATCTGCATAAATGTATCCGAGACTTCCATCAACAAACACCAAAAAATAGCAATAGAAAAGAAGAAATTATTCTCACTCGCCTAAGAACTGGACATACTAAGCTGACACATGAACACATAGTTAAAAAAACTACACCACCCACCTGCAACTCATTGCAACAATCATCCGTTAACGGTCGCCTACATTCTGTATAAATGTCATAATACAGAAGTCCAAAGACAGAGACATGGAATAAACTCAAACATTAACCTGATCTTGCAAAACGACATCCAAAAAGTTTTAAAATCCCTCAAAGACACAAACTCCTATCCATACATCTAAAATCACCGTCGTCGCTAATGATCTCGTAGTCGATGTGACACTAAATTCCACAAAAAAATAAAAAAAATTTTAAAATTTAGTTCTTATAATATCAATTATATAATATATTATTTATTATTTTATATTATAATAACATTTAATTCAATTATTTAAATTAATTTTTTAATTTTACATTTTACATTAATTATAAAAATTCTATATTAAAACAAAAAATTTATTTATTTATTAATTATTAATAGACTCCATTTTATTAGATAACAAATAAAAGACAAAAAATTAGATGTCGAAAAGTTTATATCTATATAAATTATATATTATAAAAAAGAATATTATAATAAGAGAAGAATAATAATTATAAAACGTAAGTTTTAACACTTTATTCTCTTAAAGTGTTTAATATAAAATAAACTGTTATGTTTAATAGAATAACTATATATACTAAACATATTGATTTTAATTTTATTACTTTTTATTTACTTTCCATTTGCTTTATAAATTTAAATTATAAGCATAATTTATGTATATTCAATATTATTCGATTTTGCTCATAATTTCAAAATTAAAAGTTTTATCTACATACGATTGTTCAAAATTAAATTAGTTCAAAAATATAGTATGGACTATGAAACAAATAATTTGTCGAATTTGTTTAATAAATTTGTTTATAAAATTAATGAAACAGCGATTAAAAAAACATGAAATATATCACATTGTACATCACTGAATATTTGTTATAAATATTTATGACGAATTTCATTGCGATATCTTTTGTAAGTCAAAAGTTATTCAAAAATGTCGCGAAAATTCTCAACCGGCCCGTAGTGCGTTCCGACAGTCGTAGCGACGAGGATAGCGAAATTCGAAACGGACTTTCTTTATTCAACTAATGCTCATTCCTACATTGGTTGTTTCTAATACCGATTCTCCGATGCCGAGCTATATACATTATAACATGTATCATGAAACTTAAAAATCGATGCATGCGTCGCCGCATGTTCCATGTCTGTGGGAGTCTTTACAGAAAACGGTATCGTTGTTACGTTATTGGTTATTTGACAGCTAATGACGACGACACGACAATTACTACAGTGACGATGCGACGCTACCTAATACAGCAAAGGCGGTTTTTAAGCTTTTTTCAAAAGAAGATACTTGTACCATTTATATATAATTTTCGCATTTTCTAACAATACGTGATGTTCAGAAAAATAAATATTTCCAATAACGGAACATATTTCAACATATAGCCTAAACAAACCAAAGGAAGCGATAGTCAAACACAATACGCATTTTTTGAACTTTTGAATTAGTGGATTCTTTTGCTAATATCATCAAAATCGTACAATAAATTAATCAACCAGTGAATGCTTACCTTGGTAAATACATAACTTGAATAGCAAAGATCATACTATAAATAATAGTTGAAGCGAACAGATACCATGGATATTGTTCATCAATCTGTTGCCGATATTGAAGTTCTTGATTTTGATCATAAAATCGATAAGTGAAGGATGACATACCTTCATTGCCTTGACACCATTGTCTGTTATAAGGAGCACTTGTGAGTATATACAATGATTAAATCGGTATATATACATGTATGTATGAATAATAGAAGATTTATTAAAGACAAAAAATTAGGTAAACTCACCTTATATCAACGAAACAATTAAAATTATTATTTACTAAAATATTCGATTCAATCATGGCGATGCTCTATAAGACAGAAAAAGACATACATACATTATATTCATTTTGACATTAATTCATTTAATATAATATTCTGCTTTAATTATATCTTATTGTATTAATATAATAAAGGACTAATTTTTCTTTTTTTATTAACTAATTAACAACAAAATTTTTTATTAGCTTACCGTTAGGCCGATATTCTTGGCAAGTGTGGCTTCTGCGATGTTGGCAAAAGGTTTATCAGCGCCCCAACTTTCAACATATTTTGTCATTTTACTGCTTGGTCTTGATCTGTTCAGAAGTAGAGATAAAAATTATTTTAAATTATTTTTCCTACTCATGTTTTTTTCTTCGAATAACAGTTAGCAAGATACCAAAAGGTAACATAACATAATATGACTTTTTCTTTATTTCATGTATTCCGTTAAATATTACTTAATAACGATTAATACGAAGATATAAGGAAGAAGAGCATGTTAAACACTATTTTATTTCATAACATTTACAATCTATTGACAGTGTATGATGATTCGAATTAGTGAATAATAACTAATTTAAAGTCAAATTTAAATGCAAAAAGATAGTATTGTAGACAGTTTTTATATGTACATATGTTAATGCAAAGTATCGAAATTAAACGTGTTCACCTGGACGGTATGGAAGCAGCACCGTATTCGCGCTCACTGTTATCATCCGCGCGATTTTCTTGGTTGGATTTCTAACATATGTAATGCGAAAAAAATCATTACTCATTAGACTTTAATCAATTTGATCTCGAATATATTCAAAATATTGTCATTAAAATGAAATTGATCAATCAATTAAATTATAATTGAATACTCGACTGTAATCAATTGTAATCGAATAATTATTTCTGCTTTACTTCAAAATTTATATGTATACAATATAATTTGATGTTAATATTTAAAAAATATCACATACGAAGCATTAATTTTCATATTATAAATATCAACAAAGAATTTCTAATTTTTGTGTTATGAATATCAATAGAAAATTCTAATTTTTATAGAAATGACAGAAAAAGAGGATTTAATCTCACCTTTGGAGGCACTATTAAGAAAGTTTCTATATTGTGTTGGGCAAGATAATTTTCTCGTGATCCTCCATTTCCAGGTTCCACTTCAAAATGATTTCCAAGTTGAAGCAGGGTAGCTTTAGTTATATGTACTCTCCTTGAGAAAAAAAAAGTTATTAAAAATTTGTTATTATAATCGTGCGTTCAAACCAATACTCACTCCGACAAATTCGTGTTGTTCATTTATTACACCAATACTTGTTTAATGAATACAATATAAATTATGAATACAAATACAAATTTAGTCGAAGCAACGGACGAATATTCGTTCATTTTTCGGTCTAAACGCACTCTATATATAAGAATATAAGAATTGAATTGTTATAATAATAATATGTATATATAATAAATTACCCCGGTAAACCACCACTTTCCATATGATTTGCCAGTGTAACATCGTCACTCCAAACGTCGAATTGCCATTTTCTTAAACCAAGTACACCGCATAGCACATTTCCGGTGTGTATTCCTATTCGCATATCCACATTAAATCCCGTTGCTTTACGAACAAATCTAAAGAAAGAAATGACTAATTTTTATTATTTTACTATTTCGGGAAAAGATCAGTTTATCTTTTTCTTCTTACTTAATAGCATCAATCATTTGTAATCCCATAGTCACACAATTGTACGCATGATTTGGTCGAGAAATGGGTAATCCTGAAACGCAGTAGTAACAATCACCCAGGATCTTAATTCTCATGCATTGATTATCCTAAAATTATCCACATGTGAATTTATGTATCAACTTAACATATAAACTTATAACATATGAACTTAAAGTTAAAATCATGATATTTTAATACAGTAGATATATTTTGATAATGCAAGATAATAAGAGATTCAGTGAAAAATTATCATAATGTTACCTGAGCAATTTGATCGAATCTTCCGAATAGTTCATTCAATATTTTTACTAGATCTGAAGCTGACAATTGTTCCGAAAGCGGTGTAAAATTAACAATGTCCGCATACAGGATACTAAGAGAAATATTATCATTTTTATATCTATTATAATTGATTAAGGCAGTAACAGTTTGCTCTATTTTTTTTAGTTTACCTAACATTGTTATGTCGCTGCACGTACATTTCATAAAATCTAGTTTGTTTATGTTTACTAACTTCTTGACACGCATTCGCCATTTTCAACATAATACTTCTTTTCACCTGTCTCAATTTTATTTAACAATGTTTAATACATTTGAATAGATAATTATCATGAGAGAAAAATCCAAAGCTTACCTCAGCTGCGATATAAGCAGGAATGACGCTCAACAATAATTGTTCTTGTTGTTCTCTTTCACATTCTAGCTTTATTCTGGATTCGATAACTGTTTTTGTTTTAGAGAACGTCCTATTATGCGCTTTTGCAGTTAGTATGCTATAATACGAACCCGACAAAATTGCAGCAAATAGAAAAATGATCTCGCTGCATATCTAAATCAAATGGTAAGAAAAATGGATAAATAAGTAGTCTTAAATGTAAAGACAAACGTATAAACGATAATTAAATAGTAGTAAAATAGCCAAGAGAATAGAAGATATAATTTAAACATTGGAATACCTGACTTATTTGATAGTAACTTGATTGTTCGAGAAACACAAATCGTATGCCTAAATGAACAAAAATTAACATAGTTGCAAGAATTGTTGGTGTTTGTCGACTATCTCTTGGTAACACTGCGATCATTGTGTGAACTGCGACAAACAGAGGTACCGAAGCACGAACGATTAGAATTCCAGCACCTAAAGTAATAGACGCGATGAAGCCTAAAAGAAGTCTAGCTTTAGCGGATATTAACGTGCATGGCAGTTGGGTCACTAATAGTAAACCCAATGAAGAGAGTAATAATATTGTGAAAGTCGATATAGGAACAACCACTCGAGTTAAATCCTGTAACAAAACAAAAAGAATAAGATAAGAATAATTTTGTACTTTCTCTTTTTATTTAGGATCTGAATATTAGTGAATATATAATATAATATAATACATTTACGATTATATTTAGAAAATAAGCACACAACGAAACCTAATTAGGTACATACATACATACGTATATTTAGTTTTTTCTTTCTTTCCGTTTGTCTCTTCCGTTTTTCCTTTTTCTTTTTTCTCTTATGCTAACAATAATGATGCAAAGAATAATAATAATAATACATTTTTTATACTAACAATAAAAATTACATTTATATTCCATCACTTCATAGATTAAAATCAATTTCTAACGATTTATTCTTATTCTTATATTGATATTATATTCGTGTAATATTGATCAGGTTGAAAATTTAATTTACAAAATATTTTATTATTCTATACTATTTTTGCAAAATTATTTTAATATTAAAGAAGTATGAATTTCTTCAATAGCAATTATAATATGAATGTTATTTTATAATCGACAACTGAGTATTTTAAGGAATGTTATAATAATATAAACATTAAAAAATATAAATACTTCAATAAGTCAAGTGTTATCAATAGAATATAATGGATAGGTTAAAGAAATAAATATTTTAATAATTTCCATTCCTTTCTTGTCTTGGTTTTAATATTTTTATTTTTGCATTATTAATTAAAAATTAATATGTTTAATTAATAATGCAAAAATGTTATTAATATAATTAATAATTGTTTTAATTTGGTAATTTTTTTTAAATTTTAGTTTATAACATTCCAAAATCATTTAACATTTTTTAAATGGCAATTTGTATTTTTTTCGATATTGTTATAGGGTACACAAAGTAAAATTCAATGATCATTCTATTCCGATTATTTAATCTGAAAAAATTCACACTAATATTTTTTAATGTTATTGAACTATTACTGGCTTATGTACATATATTTATGTTATGAAATATCACAGAAAATGCGTGTCATACAAATGTTACACTAAAATTTGAAGTATTTCAAGAAATATTAATTTTTCCACATTGTATTCTAATATATTTTTAATTAGAACAGCACAAGAATTAATTCATAGAAAAAAATCGTGCAATCCTATTTAAAATTGCATGAGTGTACTTCTATAAAAAAAGTTATATGATAACAGAGCTTGTTCAATAATGCAAAAGTTTCCTTTATTTTTTTTTCTATTTTCGATAGATAATAACACAGTTATAGTCTAGTTCAATTATTAAATTCACCTTGTATATAAACATATATGTATTAAAAAGTGTGATTTGTTTTTTTTTCGTGAATTTTATGTACATATTTACATAATATATTTACACAATATAGATATTATTATTATTATTATAAAAATTAATAAGTGTTAAAAATAATATTTAATCGAGTAATGAATTAAATTTTGAAATTTAATTGAAATTTATTAAATTTACCTGATAGTTAGCAATACAGAGAATTCCTAGCACGGATATTAAGGCAATAACAGCGATAAGAAGGGCTCCAGCATAGAGGGAGGCTGTCAATTTTCCTTCATATTTGTTTCTTAGTTGTTTCAATTCCTCAATGCCGACTTCTCTTGCCACATGTTTCTGTGATTTTTCTATAATATATACATATATTGCATACATTAACTCCTATTCCGAGATAAAAAAATTACGAAAATTAAATGATTCAAGAATCTTTTTCAATATTTAGCATTATCTCGATAATTGAAAAAAGTACTACACTTTGTTACATGTAAGTATTCTATACATGTAAGTATGTATTCAGATAAATACATACGTATATATATATAAGCAAAAGTAGATATGCATATAAAACATACATACTTATTTTGCTAAGCGGTATAAGATTCATCGTAATACACTTCAATCATCTTTTCACTTCCATTTAAAATAATTTAAGTCGATCTAATATCTAAAAATTTCTCAAAAGATAAGAAAAACAGAAAGTATAAAGTAACTAACGAATTCATGGTTCTCTCAAGGTACTTCTACTTTTAAGAGTTGGCTCATTGCCAGTACGAGTTATTTTTGATCTCCATAATATGTATATATATAGTTAGAAATTTGACTTTTTCCTTTAGGCGTGCGTAATTTCAGCGCAATGCACTTATGTAAGAAATAAACATGTGGCAAAATTTTATTCTCTTTTTTTGATCTCTTTAATTATATACTAAAAAAATAGTATAGATTACTAATAATTATTATTAAATATATAATTCAAATACAATTTGAATAAAATATATATATTTTAAATTATATCTATAAATTTTTTGAACATAATATTTCTTTATTACTGTTCGTTACGAACTGATGAATTTTAATCAATAAACTTCTATATGTGTCGATTTATAATTTACAATTTGGTTTCTTTTTCTCAATTTCTCACACTTTGATTTTATGAATATATATAGATTGATAAAATGGACATCATTAATTGTTCCATTGATACTTTCATTTCTAATACAGTTTATATATATGTCTATTCTTTTTTTACTTGTGTTTGCTCTTATTTAAGAATATAATATCGCATAAGCGTAGATTATTACCTTCTTCTGACATAACACTGGTAAAATATTCAGTTCCTGTCACGCGTTATAATTCTCTCGACTGCTTGAAATTTTTCGTATTTAATATTTCCCGCTTCTTTCTGTTTCTGATCAATAATCACATAGAACTTTTTTTGTATATTATTTTAATTAATCGCACAGGTTTAAAATATATATGAGTCACAAAGCAAAAATATTCTAAGTATGCATTTTAACACGTTACTCTTTTGGATCTCTTACCGCGATAGTGGGGAGTAGGAAGAAGACGAAGAGAGAAAGAAAGATAGAAACAAAAATGATAAATCAACTTGATTGACATAAATGTTTTCATATTTAACTAATAAATCGATTATAATTCATTCTAGAAAGTAGAACATTTTATTGTAGTATATAAGAATTAATTAAGATTAAAATAATATCGGACGGATGTGTGTAAAAATTATTCATAGCGAATACAACTTTATAAATATGAAGCTCACTATTGGGAAATCTATTTATTAAACAACGTTATTGTAAAATTATTTTATACTTTTTTTGGATTGACGCCATTGTTTCTGGTGCATTTTCTACTAAAACATAATTACATATATATTTCCTAGTCTCTATTGTGTATTGATATTATAATTGTATTATAATTCTTTAATCGTTTTTTTACAAAGCAATATTTAATATAGTCATTTTTAATTCAGTCAAATATAAAATTAAATTAAACGATAAATAATTATAATATTGTGAATATTTCATATTGTAAATATATAATTAATTAAGAAGAAATAAAGATATTTTGTAATCTTAATGATAGAAGTTTATAGTTGTATTTTCTCTTTTTTTTATTATTATTATTTCCTTTGTTTTGTAACAAAAATGTAACATGGATTAAATAAACTTTAACATTCTTTGTATTTTTTTTGCATTTAGTAGTAAGTTTATCTATAATTTTTTCTTTTTTCTCTCTTCACTCTGTATATACTACCGTTGAATTTTATTTTACATTATAAAAATTCCATTTCACGTTCTATACCCACGAATTTTAATTGTTCCGTTGGTCCGTATCTAAAAGAAGAAACATGTAAATAATGTGAAAAAAATGTGTGTACAAGTAATATTAGCAATTTTACCTGTAATCAAAAAATAATTCCTCGCCAGGTTGAATAGCCCTTTTTGCAAAAATACCTATTCTATGATCACCATTTACCATCATTACTTTCGCATAGCAATTAGGATTTATTGAATGATTGGCGAATCTTATTTTATTTCCTTTTCGAGTAGCATCCACAACAAAGTCTAAAAGTTAAAGGAACAAAATTAATAGAAAATAATTATTCTTCAACTATTGATAAAAAGCTGCAATATATCTTATTAATTTTTCTTACCATTATTAAGATTAAAGAGGAAACTACACATATATTTATCATATACTTTGCCTCGTCTGTCAGCTTCATCTTGACTTATAATTTCACCACAATATTCTGATATAAATTCATTCTTTCCCGCAGATTCCTTAAGAAATATTCCCCAGCCAGCTACATCAGATGGTGCCATTAAAAGATGTTTGTCTGAAATTACATTAGCATTCATAAAGCTAAAATTAATCTTATGATTTAAAAAATATAAAAAGGTATTATATACATACGAAGACCGCGTTGAACGCTAACGTTTTTGCAAGATATTTTAGTAATATGAAACTGATCTGCGCCGCATGTTTGACACAGATCTGGGTCACATTCCCTTACAGCTAGATAACAAGGACACTGTTTTGTGTTACATTGAGCTTTACATCTACATCCTGGGAAACGATTTTGACATTCGCTGCTACATTGACAAAACTTCTCACAGAAATTCTGAGCTTGTATGCATGGGCATGAGTTATCGCATTGTCTTCCTGGATGATCGCATGGTGCGAAATTATGAACATGATTGGCACCTTGAAAATAAAAAAAGAAAAAGAAAAAATTAATAGATAATTTAATAGGTAAATTATATTTAAAAAAATTTAATATTATTCATTTTCGAATATTCACCAGAATCTTTTTTTAGCTGTATTTTTCTACAATGCATTGACCAAAGACGATGTTTCTTTTTTTTCTTTCGCGGTGGCGTGAAATCTTTCAAATTTTCGACTGCTGGAATATCTGATGCTTCCTTCTGTGCAAATTGATATACTTCCTGACATGTTTTAGTTAGCATTATTTGCGCTAATGCACATGGATTACCAGGAAAAGCTTTATGAAGAGCTCGAAACAAACTTTGTTCTGAACCTGTCCATGAAGATTCACTTTCTGTCTTTATTCGTTTATCCAGGCCGAGAAGGGTAAACGGCGCTTGATTTTCCGGTTGAGCTTGATCTTCCATTAATTCTTCAGATTTTGTTTCTTTATTAACGTTCTGTTTAAAATCTAATATGATAACAATATATGAATCTATTATATTTTTTATTGATAATACAATCTACACAGCTTATTTGGAAAAAAATGAATAATCCCCTATTACCTTGACAACCATCTCCTTGACTATACTTATTGCTGTCATTGCTATCTTCACTACTTGCTTCATTTCCAGAATCTACACTTGCTTGTTTCCGTACCTTTCTGGGTCCACTACGTTTCTCATCGCTTTCCTCATCTTTTATATCTGCTGCTTGTGCAGCGAGTTTCTCTTTCATTCCTTCCTATAAAACAAAATTTGCATTTGATATGACTGTTTTTATCGTTATTGTTACCATTATTCTTGCTTTTACCAAATGCATGTAACATTCTGTTCCGCATGGTTCAGAAAAAGGTTTTAAGTCAGGTCCCTTTCGTTTTTGCAAATTCGGTCCTGGATGACAGACTTGAAGACCTATAAATAAGATGTAAATTTAATGTCAAGCTATTTTCAAAAGAAAGCATCACGGACGATGTAGAATTTAGTATGTGTTCACAGCGTCAACGACCAACGAAATATGATTGCAGATGTACCCTTGATGGCATTTCCGAATGAGAAAGAAAAAAGAAAAAGAAAAAAGAAATGAAAATAAAACGAAAAAGAAGCGTTCGTTCAAATACGATCGTTTGTATGCAGTGTTATTCTTTACCTGACGGCGACGCTCCCCTGGCTGCTACAATAAATCAGGAATCATAAATAATCGTAATTGACAGATGATCAATTTAAGACAGGGATACAGCATGGTGTATGGCCACTAGGTTGTATCTCAGTACTAATCTTTGTAATTAAAGAATATAACCAATTTAAGAAGAGTCAAACTTGTATATTTTATTCTTATACTCACGATGAAGGAAACAGTCGTATTTGAAGCATCTTCTACAGAATAGAGTATGAAAGGAATGCATTGTTTGCTCTCTGGGTACACTTTTTGCATTCACTCCATCGATATTTGGTGTACATTCTGGAGGTAGAATATTTGGATCTGATCTCTCTGTTAATTCTATATATTTTTCTCTTAATTCTTCTGGTCTACCTTTGTCAGGAAACATACTAGATATTGCCTAAAAAATTAAAATAATAATTTAATCAATTACAAGTAATAAGATAAAATGTTTTTTCATATGATACTTGCATTAAATATATGCATAGATGGAAATGGATTTTTTTCAGTTTTAATTTCCTCTAATAATTTTTCAGTTTTAATTTCTGCTTTAATGACAATATCCTTTCTATCTTTATCATCTTCCTTTTCTTTTCCTTTCTTTGTTTGTTCTCTATCCTTATCTTCTTTTTCATATTGCACTAAGGCATTAACTAAATCTACAAAAATTGAATCATCCATAAAACCTGATTCTCTGTCTCCATGTACCTACAATCAATAGACTAATATTAATTTCTAATAAATCATCATTTTATTATAACAAGGTATAATACATACTTTTCCATCGTAATTTTTTATTAATTCTTCAATAAATGTTCCATCTTGATCTAAGATTTCATCTCCCATATAAGGTATATTATGTAATACAGTTTCATCTTCAACCATGAAATTCTGCTGTATTGGAGCCCATGTATACATGGTTGGTATAGGAGTAACTGCATTAATAATCTTAACAGGACATGTTTGCACATCATTGTCAGAACTGGTCACCTCTGCTTTTTTCATACAAGATACATGTGGTGGTATATCTTGCATTGCAAGCCACATTGCTTTTCCATCTGTCCACCGTTTTTGTTCAGCTATTAAAAGATCTGAGAAGTAAAAAGAATTAAAAACTTCGTTACAATAATATTGAAAGAAAAAAAAGTATACCAACCAGACATAACCTTACGGTTTTGATTCCAAGCTATTTTTACTTCATCTGCTCGTTTGTAACGTTTCATTTGTCTCAAACGCATGTATTCTGATTTTACCCGTTTCTTCCATTCTGCGGACACCTTTGCTTTGGACATTACAACAAAAATTTAATTTTAGATATTACAGAACAACGTATTAATACTTAGATTTCCTTTATTATGGAAGCCATCTTTATTTGACAACAGATGTTATGACAGTAGTGATGACGATTTGCAGCGCCAATTTCAAATTCAAATTCAAATCCATGTATAGAAGGTTCAAGGTTGATATATATTAAATCATTAAATGATATATGTATATGCTCCATATTTTAAAGTTTATTACGTAAATTAAAATTGTTACCAAAAATATTGTCAAATGTTGTAAGTACAGTTAGAAAATGCTTAGATAAAAAAATTACCAGGATTACTTCTAAGAATTTTTCCGTCCCGTGCAAAATGATAATATACTTTATTATCTCCCTTTTTCCCTCTATAATAAAAAACAGCTATAATGATGTCAAAAAGCTATGATATTAAACTAGATTCTAATATCTATGACCATAAATTCTAAATACACATAAGTTAATAAAAAATAATTATAAACTTTCTATATATTTTGTTAGAAAGAAGGATAGAGAATTTGATTTAATAATTTATTACTTGTATCATCTTATGACTAAGGGCGTGCGAGTATCCGAAAATGTCGGGTACCCGAGCTCGGGTCGGATTGAGCGTGACTCGGGTCGGGTCGGGTCGGGACGAAAATTTCGGGTACCCGACATCGAAGTCGGGCAGTGCTTAGATCGACTCGGGAACTAGGAGTGTACGGGTACCCGACTGTTCGGGTCGGGCTTACACAAAGTTGGGCGGGCTCGGGCGGGTAGCCCGACGATTTTAGGTAGCCTGATGATTTCGAATCGAGTTGGAAAAAGTTCAAAGGGGATAGGATTAGAGATGGGCATTATTCGAATAAAATTTTATTCGAACACTGTTTCGAATAAATTCTTCGAATAAAATTTTTAACAAAATATTTACTGAAATAATGTAAAGAAAAAGAGTCGAAAGTACTTTTTTTTTCAATTTTGGTTTATTTAATAAATTTGCTTTGCTTTTAATATTTAATAAAGCGAAATCTACTTTAACCGATCAACATTTACAAACAAGTGATAATGTAGAAATTCTTGTACTACAACATTTTACAGATAATAGAAATGATTACACATCTCTGAACGCATATACCATAATTAAAAATATATTTTTGAAATATAACACTCCTTCGCCATTTTCAGGCTCCAGTAGAACGTTTGTTTTCATTTGCAACGACAACAAAATCGCCTAAAGCAAACAGATTAACTAACAAAATGTTCGAAACAAAAAATTGTACTAAAGGCAAATTTATTAAATAAACCAAAATTGTAAAGAAAGGACTCCTGACTCTTTTTCTTTACATTATTTCAGTAAATATTTCGAATAAAATGTTATTCGAAGAATTTATTCGAAATATTATTCGAATAATGCCCAATTTTATGTTCGAATAAAATCGTTATTCGTAAATATCGAATAATTTATTCGAAGAATTTATTCGAAATGTTATTCGAATAATGCCCATCTCTAATCCTATCCCCCTTGAATTTTTCCCAACTCGATTCGAAATCATCGGGCTACTCGAAATCATCGGGTTACCCGAAATCGTCGGGCTACCCGAAATCATCGGGTTACCCGAAATTTTCGGACTATCCGCCCGAGCCGGCCCGATTTTGTGCGAGCCCAACCCGAACCCGAAATTTCGGGTACCCGCACACCCTTATTGACAATACGTTCGAGCTACTTATATAAATAATACATACACATACACGCATATCACATACATACTAGTTGTACACTTAACCGATACAAGATGTCGCGATTATAATAATAGATCTATAAGATAGATCTAACAGATATGTAATGATAATGATAACGTTGTTACATTATGGAAATAAAAACTCGTTTCATTTTAAATAGGATTTTATTGAGGGGAACTTGTACTGATTACTTGAAATCTCGCGAAAAAGAACTGATACTGTTTTTGTAGATTCTGGAGTAAACATTTGTTAGCGGCCATGTGAGTTCGTGGTTGTTAGAAAGCAGATAATTGTTATTCATTCTTTTACGGTTTATGACCGAACCAGGTTTTCAATAAACTTGAGAAATTCCAAAGAATGTTTAGGGTAACTTATTTTGTCTTTGTAGAAAATATTGATCTAGCCACGGAGTGGGAAATCTAATAAAACTGTTTGATCACTCAGCATTTATCTCAAAACCGTCGAATTGGAAAGATCGTGAATTTCTTAAAATCAATTTTTAATTATAAACACATTGATTCAAAGATTAATTCTATAGAATCTCTATGTGAAAAATCTTCTTCCTTAAAATAAATAAAATAAATAAATTTTCGCCTACAAAAACGAAGATGTGACAAGGAAAGTACAACAATTAATATAAAATGATACAATATAAAAATTATTCAACAAAATAATACTGTACTAATATTAAATAACACATAAGAGTTTTATGCATTGTTAATAACGTGCGCGATTTCTTTTTAGCGATTTTAATTACTAGTTTTTATGATGGAATATTTTCTCTTCAAATATCAACGAATTGGCATTGGCACGTGATACAAATGGTGTTTCTATTGTTGTATCTATTGTTGTACAGATATGTATATGTAGATGGTGCATTCGTTTGATTTGATGATACATTCACATTTGTATTGTAGCAGTTACTATAGATATTTGTACATAGTTGGCACAAGTAACTTATTAATTTATGTATTTTAAATTTATATTAATAATTTTACTGAAGTAGTTACGAAACCAATTAAAATTTGAATAAGCTGTCATGGAAACCATTTTGGTAAATTGCATGCATAAGATCTAGCCTTGAGGATATGCTATATTGTATGTATATTGAGAAACAAAAGGATTGTTGCACATTTAACAGCGCGTCTGAATGCATCAGACCAATGTTAACGTTTATATATAACGTTATATATCTAGTTTAATATGGATTTATTTCCAACAGCACATCAATATTCTTTCATATCACTTCGAATAACAAGAATGTTTTGTTAGTTAGGTGATTATTATAATTGTTTTTTATATTATTATATGGTTAATAATAATGGTTATAATATGATTAATAATAATAATTATTATTGTTATTATAATTGTTATAATTATGAGTTATAATTATTATATATGAATAAAATAATATATGAGTAGATATAAATAAAATTAAAACCAAAACGATGTATATACAGGGTGTTTCGTAACTTGTGGGACCCACTTTGGAAGCTGATTGTACGCCTAAAAATAGTGAAAAAAAGTCATATAAATATATCTCCTATCTGTTTTCGTTTAAGATATAATGAATTTTCTGTTTTAATTACTTTTACAAAAGATGCTCGAAATGACCACCTTGCATTTGAAGACAAGCCTGCACGCGTCTTNTGTTTCTCGAATTTGTCGGAAGCCTTGCTCTATTCTATTTCGTAGTATTTCAGCATTTTCAATCGATGTTGCGTATACAATAGATTTTAAATGTCTCCACAAATGAAAATCTAATGGATTCAAATCCAGAAAACGAGCAGGCTATGCAATAGGACCTCTACGACCAATTAGTCTAATATCGACTGGAACTTCCTTAGATTTCGTATACAGTTTATGCATGATGGAGCTCCGCCGCATTTTAGCTGAGTGGCTAGGCAATTTTTAAAAAATTAGGGGACCCAGGTCCACTGCATCTTATACCCTCTTCGATACTTGAGTTCTCTCTCTCGCTGAGTAAAGTTCCAGCTAGAACGATATATACCTTCCTGTGAAATAAAGTAAAAGTAAAATTATAAAGTGCAGTAAATTTTTTTCTTTTACCTATAATTCCCAAAAGGTTATGGACCCAGTGAACGTTACGTATAAACTACAAACTGTGCGAAGTGAACGATATTAATTAATCATGTACTGTGAAAGTGCAATAAGCTGAAACTATATATTCATATATATTGACATCGAATTTTTCCTGCGCGAAAGAACAATGGAAAACGTAGGTATGAAACGGAACATTAAATTGTTTGACGGAGAACGATATAGTGTCTGGGAGTTTAGGATACGTGCAGTGTTAACTGAATTTAATATAATTCATGTTGTTGACGAAGAAATTCCGTTTAATGTATCGGAGGAATGGAAAAAGGCAGAACGGACTGCTAAAGGTGTCATTGTTAAATACTTAGCTGATTCCCTTTTGTCCTTCGTAACACCGGAAAATACTGTTAAAGAGATTTTCAGAAACCTAGACAGTTTATATGAACGTAGAAGCCTCGCTATTGAACTAGCTTTAAGAAAAAAATTGTTAAGGTTGAAATTACAAAATGACACGTCTTTGATGAAACACTTTACAGCGTTTGATTGCTTAATAACCGAGCTGAAAGCAACAGGTGCGAAATTAGAAGAAATAGACGTGATAGCACATTTGCTATTAACTCTTCCATCATTGTATGATGGGGTTATAACAGCGATAAAAACCCTATCTGAAAATAACTTAAGTGTTGCTTTCGTAAAAACAAGACTTCTAGATTATGAAGTTAAACTGGAAGGTGAAAACCGCGATATAAGTGCGAAGGTAGAGGTTGAATGTGGTCAGTGATATGGGAGTGGTTCGAGACGTCCTGTATTCACCGTACAATTTATTATCCATGTCAAAAATGCAAAGCATGAACACAACGATTTTTGATTAGGAGGGGGTAAAAATCCTGAAAGACGGTAAGGTCGTTATAAGGGGTAAGTCTGTAAATAATCTAATTACTGTAGATTTTGAAGTAGAACATGTACGAGTGAACTCAGTTATTCAAACAGATAATTATTCTAAAGGTAGTTCTGAATTATGGTATGAATGCTTGGAACATATTGGCAAAAATAAATTTTTGGAATTAAGAAATAAAGAAATGATTAGCGATGTATTATATATTTGGTTAACAAGATAGTACCAAATGATAACTTATGCGAAGCTGGTACAAAAGGAAAACAGGCAAGACTGCCATTTCAAAAGAACAAAGACAAAGATCATGTAAAAAGACCTTTGTTCACTCAGACGTGTGAAGCCCAATCACTCCTTCTACAAACAATAAAAATTACTTTGCAACATTTATTGATGA